CTGGAGTGCAGTGGCACAAGCGCAGCTTACCACAGCCTCAACCTCCTGAGCTCAGGTGATCCTTCTGCCTCAGTTTCCTGAGCAACTGGGACTACAGGCCTGTGCCACCACTCCTGACTAATTGGAATTTTTTTTGTAGAGACAAAGTCTCACTATGTTGCCCAGGATGCCTTTTCTTTCCGTTTTTTATACTTCTTGTTTCTTTTTCTTATTTTGTTGCACTGGCAAGTACAATGCTGAATAGAAGTGATAAGATGAGAGTGGACATCTTTGTCTTATTCCAAATCTAAGAGGGAAAGCAATCAGTTTTTTATGATTAAGTATGATATTAGCTGTAGGTTGTCTTGTAGATGCCCTTTATCAAATTGAGAAAGTTCCCTTCCATTTCTAGTTGGCTGAGAGGCTGTATTCTGAGCTAGCCAAGTCTTCTTAAAATTTGTAGCCTGTTCTCAGTTGTACCATGGGGAATTAAACAGATTGCTAATGGCCGGGCACAGTGGCTCACACCTATAATACCAGCACTTTGGGAGGTCAAGGCAAAAAGATTGCCTGAGTGCAGGGGTTTGAGACCAGCCTGGGCAACTTGGTAAGACCTCATATCTACAATAAATTTAAAAAGTAGCCTTTTGTGCTAGTGCATGCCTGTAGTTCCAGCTACTTGGAAGGCTGAGGCAGAAGGATCGCCTGAGCCCAGCAGGTTGAGGCTGCAGTGGCTGTGGCTGTGCCACTGCACTCCAGGCTGGGTGACAGAGTGAGACTCCAACTCAAAAAAAAAAAAAAAAAAAAAAAGGGTGGTAAGCTTTTATTCATTTGTGGAGTATTTATTGGTCTGAGACAATGCTCTCGTTTGGGAGACTGGAGAGGCAGACAGCAGCAGACTATTGCCATGTCCAGCTGAGTGGAGACCTCCCAGGGTTAGTAGCAAAATGCAGCATGGTAACTAGGCAGAAAGAGCAGAGCAGAGGGACCACAGGGCCTGATTCCTGGGCAGGTGGGGCAGCACCATGGGAAAGTCCAGAAAAAATTAGGGGGTATGGAAAATGAGGGTGCTTCGTCCAGCAAGAAGGCCAATGGACGTTCACCATCGTCGCTGGGTTTTAAAAGGAAGTATAATTACTATTAGCACTTAACTAGGGAAAGAAAGGAATAGTTCATTCCACTTTGGGGTGTGGAAGAACTTTTTTAAAAATTGCATTTGAAAACATAGAAGAAAGTTGAAAGAACAGTGCGCCCTCCCCACTTGCTGTGGTTTGAATGTTTGCCTCCTCCGAAACTCTTGTTGAAAGCCTGGGCAGCGAGACCTCTTCTCTACAATAAATCAAAAAATTAGCTGGGCATGGTAGCGCGCGCCTGTAGTTCCAGCTACTTGGAAGGCTGAGGCAGAAGGATAGCTGGAGCCCAGCAGGTCGAGGCTGCGGTGGCTGGGAGCGGCCACTGCACTCGTCTGGGCGACGTGAGACTCCAACTCAAAAAAAAAAAAAAAGAAATGTAGTTGCCATTGTAACAGTATTGAGAGGTGGGATCATTAAAAGGTGATTAGGCCATGAGGATGCTACCTCATGGGTGGGATTGGTGCCACTACAAAAAGGCAAGTTCGGGCCCCCTCTTGCCCTCTCTTTGCTGTTCCATTTTTCTGCCATGTGAGGAAGAGCATTCTTCCCTTCTGGAAGATACAGTGTTCAAGGTGCCATTTTAGAAGAAGAGATTGGGCCAAACCTGCCAGCACCTTTATTTTAAACTTCCCAGCCTCCAGAACTGTGAGAAATAAATTTCTGTTGCCAGCTGGGTGATTCACACCTGTAATTCTAGCACTTTGGGAGGCTGAGACAGGAGGATCACTTGAGCACAGGAGTTCAAGACCAGTCTGGACAACATAGTGAGACCCCATCTCTATTTTAAAAAATTATGTTGTTTATAAATTACTTAGTCTGTGGTATTCTGTTATACCATCACTTGATGGACTAAGACTCTACCCCATATTCAACAACTGCTAACATTTTGTCCTTTTGGTCTGTCTTTCTATTAGATTGAACCACATGAATTTGCCTTTTTGGTTTGGTTTGTCAAAAATAATTGAACATCAGAAATTTCACATGGATTAACCTGACATATCAATACTTTATGTTTTTGGCAAATCTCTTGAAAGTTGCAGCTATCACTACACTTCAACCCAAAATACTTCTGCATGTATCTGCTAAGAACTGGAACATTTTTCTATAAAACCACAATACCATTATCACATTAAGAAAATTAACATTATTTCATATATGTGGTAGCCAGCTTTAAGATGGTCCCCAGTGGTCCTCACCTCCTGGTATTTACACCCTTGTGGATTCCTCTCTTGGGCTGAGCTGGGTAGCCAATAGGATATTGAATAAGTGATGGAGTGTAATAATTTCTGAGGCTAGACCATAAAATGCATTGTGGCTTCTTCCTTGTTCTCTTGGGTCTCTCACTCTGGGAGGAGCCAACTGCCATATTGTGAGGATATTCAAGTAGCCTAGAGAGAGGCCCACATAGCAAGCAACTGAGGCCTCCTGCCAAAGGTCAGAACCAACTTGGCAGCCATGCGAGGGAGCCATCTGGAAGCAAATCTTCCAGCCCCAGTCAAGCTTTTATATGGCAGTAGCCCCAGCCAACATCTTAACTACAACCTCAGGAGAGACCCTACATCAGAACCATCCATCAAGTTGCTCCTGGGTTCCTCATTCACAGAAACTGGGTGATAACTGCCACTTAGTATTGAGGTAACTTGTTACTTAGCACTAGATAGCAATTACATAGCTAATACATCATTTAATATCTAATCCTCAAGCCACCGCCCTCCATCCAGCGCCGGGTCTGCCGCAATTGTCACCCCGGCCCGTCCAGCCCCGCCATGCCGGTCAAAGGAGGCACCAAGTGCATCAAGTACCTGCTCTTCGGATTCAACTTTGTCTTCTGGCTTGCCGGGATTGCAGTCCTTGCCATTGGACTGTGGCTCCGATTTGACTCTCAGACCAAGAGCATCTTCGAGCAAGAAACTAATAAAAATTCCAACTTCTACATAGGCGTCTACATTCTGATCGGAGCTGGGGCCCTCATGATGCTGGTGGGCTTCCTGGGCTGCTGCGGGGTCATGCAAGAGTCCCAGTGCATGCTGGGGTTGTTCTTTGGTTTCCTCCTGGTGATCTTTGCCATTGAGATCGCAGCGGCCATCTGGGCCTACTCCCACAAGGATGAGGTGATCAAGGAGCTCCAGGACTTTTACACGGACACCTATGCCAAGCTGAAGAACAAGGATGAGCCCCAACGGGAGAAGCTGAAAGCCATCCACTTTGCATTGAACTGCTGTGGCGTGGCTGGGGGCGTGGAACAGTTTATCTCGGACATCTGCCCCCAGAAGGACCTCCTTGAAGCCATCACCGTAAAGTCCTGCCCCGAGGCCATCAGGGAGGTCTTCAGGAACAAATTCCAAGTCATCAGTGCAGTGGGCATCGGCATTGCGGTGGTCATGATCCTCGGCATGATCTTCAGCATGGTCCTGTGCTGTGCCACAGGAGCCGCGACATGGTCTAGAGCCGGCCGCCGGCCCGAGCAGGAGGACGTGCCGCCGCAACCGTGGGCGTTTTTGTCTCATTTTTTGTATCTTGTCACTAATTTTAGTATCCGCCGTGCATCTCTAAACAAGCGAACACAGAGTTATTTTATATTTGTCTCTTTATGCTTTCTCTGATATCCATATCTGTAGGTGAGGAGTTTGGTTTGCTTCGGTTTCTATTTTTTGGTCGTTTGCTTTTGCTCGTTATGTGACACAGAGATCCTGCAATGAAAGGGACTCTATTCGCTAGACTCTAGACAAGATGTTGTACATACAGTTGATTTTTCTGTCTTTAAATAGATAAAACGTCTATCAAATTTAATCGGGTTGTAACTTATTGAAGACAATTTGATACATAATAAAGATTATGAGACTATCAAAAAAAAATATCTAATCCTCGTTCAGATTTCCCCAATTATCTCCAAAAGTGTCTTGGAGGTGTTTGGGGGGTTTTGTTTGTTTGCTTTTGTGGAGGATGTGGAAATCAAGGCCCATATACTTTTTTTTTTTTTTTGAGTTGGGGTCTCACTCTTGTCGCCCAGGCTGGAGTGCAGTGGCACGCTCACAGCCACTGCAGCCTCGACCTGCTGGGCTTAGGCGATCCTTCTGCCTCAGCCTTCCAAGTAGCTGGAACTACAGACGCATGCCATCATACCCGGCTAGATTTTGTGATTTATTGTAGAGATGAGGTCTCACTAAGTTGCCTAGGCTGGTCTCGAACCCCTGGTCTCAGGCAATCCTCTCGCCTCGGCCTCCCAAAGTGCTGGGATTTCCACACCCGTCCCCCATACACTATTAATACGTCTCTATGATCTTGGTGTCTAGGGTGGGCAGTACTTTCCGAGAGCAGGAAGAGTAAGACTAACCACATGTGTTAGGAACAAGAAGATGAGACTTAGGTGGATGATTTATTCTGAGGAATAGTGGGACATAAAGTGGAAATAATATGGAGAGAGTACTGAGTATTTACGATATGAGGTAACTTCCATTAGCATCATCTCCAATTATAGATGAGGTAACGTAGGATTAAATAACTCGGTCACACAACGGTGAGTGGTTGGGGCTGGGATTTGAGCCCCAGCTGTCTGACTCCAGAGCCCACACTTTTAACCACTACACCAATCTACCCAGACTACAGAAAATTTTGCTGCAGCCTTTTGAAAGAGATCTAGAAAGGTTCAGAGATGAGATTGACAAGGGATAGAAAACACAAATCCTGTGAGAACTGCTGAAAGGAATCCTACTTTACAACATAGAGGAAAATTTCAATGTGTATATAAAGGAAAGAATATTGATTGGTGTCTCCTCATCTCTGTCAGGAACACAGCTCAGCCTCATCTAGCAAGCTCGTTCACAATGGGGACGAAGAGCCAGACCGTCCTGGGGCAGGAAAGCTCGCTGGGTAGGACGGGTTTCTGATGAACCCAAGGGTTTCATGAGCTCGCGTGCCCACTTGTAACTTGTTGCTCCTCCTCTATCTGCCTCTAGCGGGCGCTGTTGGTACCCTGCCCCCCCCCCATACAACTTTCTCTGTCCAATAGAACCTTGTGTGATAATGAAAATGCTCTATATCTGTGCTGTCCAGTCTGTTAGCCACTAGCCACATGTGGGTACGAAGTACTTGAGATGTGGCCAATACAACTGAGGAGATGAATTTTACATTTTATTGAATTTTAATTAATTTCAGTTTAAATAGCTACATGTGCTAATGGATACCTACAGGGCAGCACAGGGCTTCTGAGGGTTGTTTACTGTAGACATCTGTGACTCTTGGCCTGAGGACTTTTTTTCTGGTCGGGAGCACCCCTGCCCCCAGACTTGGGCGATTAGATAAGTTAAAGGGCTTCCTCCCAGCAGTCTCCCTCCAGTTAACAGTCCACAGTAAATGACTTGATATTAATGACCTTGTATTGGCCGTGGTCCCTTCTCTTTTTCACTTTCCTCCCAAATAAAATACTTGAACCTGAGTCTGTCTCAGGGACTGCTGCTGGGGTGACCCAAACTAAGAGGTGGCTGCCCTCAGTAAAGCTCAAGTTAAAGAAATAAATGCCCAAAGCGTTTGTACTTCTGCTTACGTATAGAGGAAAAAAATGATCTGATCTGTTCTTCCTTTGCTTATATTCTCCTCTGAATCAAACTTACATGCTACTCTGCCTTGATGGTGACAACTGCTAGGTACAACTCAATTTGCCCTGAGGACCCCAGGCTGGGAGGAAACCCAGGATTTGACGGGACCCAGTAGAGTCCCTCTGCCTATCTCTGCCAGGAGCACTCAGATTCTGCGACTGCCAGCGGGGCCTGTTTCCAGGTTGGGTGTTTATCTTCAAAGTCAAAATCTTGCTTGCTAAGGGGGACAAGATCTCGGCAGAGGGTAAGAGCAAAGCGGCGTTAAGTCAATCTGTGGGGAAGGGTGGTTGGCTTAGGTTTGCATTTTATTTTTGAACATTTTCCCTCACCATGGCCCATATCAAGGGGTGACTCAGCTGCGAGGTAAACGTGTTTGAAAATCTTCAAATCAAAAAGGCTCCTGTATTCTCCCATCCAAGTACTAACCAGGCCTAACCCTGTTTAACTTCCAAGATCAGACGAGATCTGGCGCGTTCGGGGTGGTATCGCGGTAGCCAGGCTCCTTTATTCTGTCCCAGCATCTCCTTCCCCACCTGACCCCCTCCCTTCCCCCTACTAATTTCCTTGATGTAATAAATGAGCAGTGAGCTCCCAGTAGTCACTATCATGCCTATTCCTACCTGTTCCAGGAATTTTGAGACCAGAGGTCTAAAAAAGAGGACTTTAGCTGGGCGTGGTGGTTCATGCTGGTAATCCCATCGCTTTGGGAGACCAAGGTGGAGCATTGCTTGAGCCCAGGAGTTCTTGACCTGCCTGGGCTACAAAGCAAGACCTCGCATCTACAAAAAATAAATAAATCCAGGCACGGTAGTGTGTGCCTGTAGTCCCAGCTACTCCGGAGGCTGAGGTGGAAGGATCGCCTGAGCCCAGGAGGCCGAGGCTGCGGTGACAAAGTGAGAGTGAGACTAGACTCTACAAAAAGAAGGGCTGATCCCTTCCTTACATTATATACAGCTGTGTGCCCAAGTGAAGGCATTTCTTGGACTTAAATGTTTCTTATACTTATTGTACCTCTTGTGAAGAGACTTTCTCTCTTTTTGTTTTTGAGTTGGAGTCTCATTCTGTCACCCAGACTGGAATGCAGTGGCCGCTCCCGGCCACCGCAGCCTC